CATGAGGGTATGCTATGTGCTGTGCTCTGTCCTAAGAGCACGCCCAGTCTAAGGGAGAGCAAAAGGTCAGATGGCTCTACAGGGTGATAATTGCAAAGCTGGGATGGAATGCACACAGTAACCATTAAATGTGTTCTTTGATATCTCTATCTCCTGGGATGTTTGATGGATATATATGTTTTAAGTTTCTTTCTTTTCTTTCTTTTTTTTTTTTTTTGAGAGGTTTTTGCTATAGGGCATGTGCGCTCACCAGAAAGATAGAGAGACAGACAGAAAGCGAGAAATCACCACCCAGGGGGGATGGCCACGCCACAATCCCTTCTCCTCAATTCTCCTCTTGGGATCTTGGGCACACACACACACGCACCTGGCATGAGTTTTAAGTCACCGGGTCCGGGACTTGAACCGTGGTTGGCTACATGGGAGTTCAGTGACACAGCCATTATGCTAACTGCTGGTCCCACGTTTTATGTTTCTGAATTGAAACACTTTTGGCTGATGGAAGCCAGAGACTTGCCTGGCTATGTTCATGTAATGTTTACTAGACCCCAAGGTGATTCTGCAGGAGATGATACCCTGTGGAGCAGTTTAGTATGCTAGGTATGTCAGTTGCCCTGATCCGAGGTAAGTGCATTCTGTAAAGTCACTGTGAACACCGAATTAGTAAATACTGGCCCACTTCCTAAGGTCCCACAAGCCTTTGATTACGTTTTTGAGAGCCAATCAACACATAACGTCACTTTTTGTGTCTCTGTGTTTAAAGGCTTCTAATTTAATACATATCACTGATTCGTTAACATTAAACTCATGGCCAACAGCATTAGAACTCAAGCCTGAACAGAGATCCTTACCACAGGTAAGGCACGAGGCAGCACCCTCACACTTAGCAAACCCAGACGGACTTCAGTCCTATACCTGCGGCCATTTTAAATCACAAGGGCACATCTTAAACAACAAAATGCAGACACAGGAAAAACACAGCAGTACACAGACTGTGACAAGGACACCTGCTCACAGGAGAGGGCTGAAACAAGAAGGCAGAGTGGCCTTGTTCAACCTTAGCTGAGAACATGAGTGTTGAGCAGCTCAAATTTTTTTTTTTTTTTTTCCCTCACTGCACATATTCCCAAATGCCACAGATGGTGAATCAGAGGTTACAAGGAAAATTTAGCAAATAAGTCAATACAGAGGACTGGTTGTCTTCCATTTTCTCCTCCAGATCCCCTTGTGCCCTTTTCTCCCTGGCTGTGCTCTGGGATGTTGACATTGCAGGACTGCTGACCTGCATGACAGCTCCCTGTCCTTGGCTCTGGGCGAAGCTCCACCAATGGCAGGTCCCAGCAGGAGACCGGAGGGCAGGAGGAGTGAGGGTGGGTGCTCACTGGCTCCCTCCCTGTGGCCAGGGAGCATGGGAAGTCCTCCACTAAAGCTTGCAGGTCCTGTCGGTAGCCTGCTACAGAGTTTCCTCTGTCTCTGCCCCGTTACCCTTAGGGGTAAAACCCAGCTCCTGCTAACCTTGGCAGTATACAGCATTCTAGCTGGCTTCCCGACACCCTCTCTGAACTTTTTAAAACAGTCCTTCTAGGGGTTGGCAGGTGGTGTGGTAGTTAAGGTACTGGACTCCCATATGGCTGACCATGGTTCAAGTCCTGAACCTGGAAACTTACTTTCTCATGTCCCCCCTCTCGCTGTCTCTCTCTGGTCAGATTAAAAAAATATATTAAATAAAATTAGACACATATATATTTATTTTTAAAAGTCCTTTTATGAGACCTTCTTCACTTCCCCAAACAGGTCGCCCTCTAGGACCCTGAGGGAGGGCTGCCTAAGTTGACAACACAGGGAGCTCAAAAGTGCCAATCTCTACAGGCTCAGACTTGTGAAATAAGATTGTAAATGGGAATTGGATGTTTCTTTTTATTTCATCCAAAGCAGCTGACAGGGAGTCTGCTCTTTAGATCAGAGTCAGGGAAGGTGAGACTGGCACCTACAAAACTCATCTGAGGCCTATTGCGGAGAGACTTGTGTTTTTGTCATTAGCGCCCTAAAAAAAATCACTATCCAAGAACACCTAAGGTATCTAATTTAAAGCAGATTAAAGGGCAATGATTTTTATCAAACTGCTTTTCCCCAAATGACTTCCTCTTTGGCAGAGTTCTTCGTTTTTCTCTTTTTCTTGAACCCTTCTGGAAGGCAATGTGAAAACGAACTTGGACCATTGCTTTTTTTGTCTTTTAGAACCCATGTTATTCTTTCCACTCCCTGCTATTTTCTATCTGGATGTGCAAGGCTCCTCGGGACTCTAGAACTCCACTGTGTCACTTCCTAACCATTACAGATTGTCCATGTCCTATGGACCTTGTTAAAGATTCACCAAACTCGTGCTTCAGGGGCAGAGTGGCAAAGCTCTATTCTGAAAAGAGCTCGTGGGCTCCGAGCCCCATGCTTAGTTATTATGCACAGGGTGCCGTTCACAAACCGCCCCAGCAGTGCCTGCACTAGAGTAGGCAGGTCCATTCATTAGGCTCCAGTGACGATTCCAGCCCATCCCTTGGTCAGATAAGCTTCATTTTATCATCTCTGCGGCATGGGTGCCTAGAAACCGCTCGATTTCTAATCTGCAACTGCTCTTGGCATCACTGCTTTCCTTATCGAATTCTAAACAAAGTGGTCTGACTTGGCATGGGTTGCAAGGGTGCTTCCTACGAGGACATGTGAGGCCATCTTCTTAGGGAAAAGCCCAGTCAAAATCTGCCTTGAAGTGAGGGGCTCAGAGCCCACAGCATTGGGCCTTGCCTGCCCAGTGACACGTATCATACCCAAGAGTAAAAGGAATATACTTTCACTGTCCAGGCATTTTGTGGTGAAAATAAAATGAAACTGTTAATCTCATATAATAACCAACTTGCTTTTTTCCCCCTAGGGTCCTTAGAAAATGTTTTCTATGTGGTTGCCATTATTTTAATATTTTTAATTGCCAGAGGGCATGTGTACTTGCCAGGGAGAGATGGAGTTGGGGACATTCCCCAATCCCTTCTCTTCCATTTTGCCTTCCTGTCAGGGTTTTGGGCATGTATGCACATATGCCGGGCAATATTCCTCAAGCCAGTGGGGTTGGGATTTGAACTGCCGCCAGCAGTGTGGGATACAGCTCCTCCTGTCACTAGGATATGGGTCTGGCCCAATAATTTTAATAGTTAAACATAAAATGCACTCAATATATTATCCTCTTTACTCCTGTTTAGTTTCTTAATTTTAAGAGCTATGTGAGACTAGGTAATTTACAACCATGGTTCTTAAATTTTGAGCTTAAGACCCTTTTATATTATAACTTATTGAGGGACCCTCCCAAAACTTTTGTTTATGTGGATATTCTTGCTCAACATTTCTATTAGAAACAGAAACTAAAAAAGAAAAAAAGATTTATTTACTAATTTAATTAAAACAATAAATCTATTACCTGTTAATAAAAATAACATTTGTAATAAAAAATGGTATTTTCAAAAAAAAAAAAAGAAAGAAAAGAGTTGTACTGTTTTATGTCTTTGCAATTTTTTTTTTTTTTAAAACAGGGTGGGATGTGCTCACTACAGAGAGACAGAGAGAGAGAGAAAGTGAGAAATCACCCCCTGGAGGGAGGATGGCCATGCCACAATCCCTTCTCCTCCATTCCCCTCTCATGATTTTGGGGACGTACACACACGTGCACACGCACCTACCCAAAGTGATTTTTTAAGCCATCAGGTCCAGGGCTCGAACCACAGCTACCTAAATGGGAGTCTAGTGGCTTCACTACCACACCACCTGCTGGCCCCCTGCTATGTTCTTTCGTGTCTGCTTCATAGAAGAAAACTGGGTTCCCATACTTTCTGTCTTCAGTCTGTCTGATGTGCAGCTGGGGCTGATGTACAAAGAAAATCTAGATGCTCCGTTGGGAAAGTAAGGCCTCAGGACTGCTTCTGGGAGGTCTCAGGACCACACTTTGAAACCCACTGTTGGAGGACGGGTTCACGTGATGGAGGGTGTGCGCTCTAGCCTGAGCATGGTTAAAGCCGTAACATTAACTGAATGCTGCCACACCACAGTCCTGTGAGTCAAGATAAAACAAACACAGGCAAAAACACTACCTCCACTCTCTGCTCTTTGTCTCCACAAAAGGAATGGGATGACTTTATTTTTCCTTGAAAGATGAGGAGGGTTAAAACGCTGTCCTTGACTGTCTCATTCTCCTCTGAGTTGGGGGGAGACAGGTACACAGAGGAACCCTCTAGGCAGACGCTCATGTGAAAGGAACTGCAGTAAATGTGGGCAGAAAGCTGGCATTTATTCACCTTCCCAGCTGATGTCCAACACTCTGGTTGCAGATAAGCGACCGCAAGGCTATCCTGCCTTGGCAAGAACCGTACAGAATGTCACAATGATCTAATGCAAGTCTTCTCGCTCTGTGGGGTAGGACTGAGGGGTCCTCTTCCCAACGGCCCTCAGGTGCTGGGCCGCCCAGACCAGCTGAGGCAGGAGCTGGGGCCTGGAGGCCACCCTGGCCACCAGCCCAGTCTGGCCTCTCATGCCTGAGTGTTTGGACATGGGTGAGCTGTCCAGTGTTGGAGACACTAATTTAAAAGTAGCAATAAAACTCATGAACTAGAGAGAGTGATTACCAGGGGGAGTGAGAAACTTTATGGCCGATCTATCGGACCTTTGACGAGAAGCACTCACTCAGTCTCACTATACTATGAACGGGCCCCTCAAACCCTCTTTCTGGAGAAGGGGGGGCATTCCTAGAAAGGGAGAACGGCGGGAGCTTTCGCTGCTCTGCCTCATTTGCCCAGAAAACCTCCATCTTGGAGTGAAATGTGTCAGCAGCACCTACAGGGTGAGGATGCCTGGTCTGCCACACGGCAGGGCACGGCAGGGCACGGCAGGGAACGGCAGGCATGGCAGGGCACGGCAGGCTGCACGACGCCCCAGCAGTACAGAGCTCCCTGCGATCCCGCACTCACCTCGTTGAAGTGAACGTCCTGCATTCCGACGTCTTCCATCATGGAGGCCTCTTCGTCTATGTTTGGAGTAATGACCCTGAAGGCTGTGCATCCTTGTCTAAACATGCCTAGGAGGTGAGAGCCGGGAAGAGGGATTAGCGGGATGCGGGGGAGCACCCAGGTTCTACCTGTCCTGTGTGCTTCTGTGTTAAACGAAGCACAGTTGTCCCTCAGATCGAAAGCGCTCCACTGTTGCTGACATACTGTGTGTGAGGCCTACGGTGGCAGCAACTGTGCTGGACACGTACAGACCTTTTTTTCTCATCATTATTCCCTAAGCGATACAGCGTAACAGTTATTTACGGGCACTTACATTGTACTGGGTATTATAAATAACCTAGAGATCTTTCAAAGCTTATAGGAAGGATGTCATGAGTCATTCGAGGTAAGGGACTAGAGCATCTGTGGGTATAGGGCCTCTAGAAGGAAGCCTCGTGGATACTGAGGGCCAGCTCTAACGGATCCTGGGATCTCTCACACGTCAGGCCAGCGCGTGGGAATCTGGGCTGTGTGTGCATTTCTTCGTTCACTTCCTCATATTTAACCCTCCTTTCCCTCACTTTGTTTCTTCTCCTCATCCCTTCTAAATTTTCACTCGCCTTTGTTTAAATGTATGCAATCTTTCTTATTTTTATTTATTTTTTCTTTTTTTTGGAGAGGTTTTTGCTATAGAGCGTGTGCGCTTGCTAGAAAGACAGAGACAGAGAGACAGAAAGCAGGAAATCACCCCCCACCAGTGGGGCTGGCCTTGCCACAATGCCTTCTCTTCCATTCTCCTCTCAGGATCTCGGGCATACACGCACATGCGCCCGGTGTAGTTTAAGCCACCGGGTCTGGGATTCGAACCACGGTTGACTACATGGGAGTCCACCGACATACTCATTACGCTAACTGCTGGTCCCAATGTATGTAATCTTCAGATCAACCGTAAGCAAACAGAAATGAATAGCAAAATAAGAGCAAATACATGAAATCTGATTTGGTCAGATGACCCATGCTCAGATAGTAAGAAAAGTAAGAAGCCACAGCTACATAATGAATCCAAAGTAACTGTTTCCTTCAAGCTGTAGAGGGAGAACCCATCACTGAGACAAGAACTCCTCCTTCTCGCTTCTCAGGAAGTCTATAAACAAGACGTCACTCAACAGCCCCACCGTGAGCTGAGTTGGTCCCCACAGTCACCACCTCGGAGGTGAGGAGCGGCCTTTTCACCATGCAGTGGAGGGGCTGGATCAGAGATTGAATGCTTCAGGGCCGGCTGAGGAGGCACTCTGATCTCTTAAAGGGACATGGTGTAAGGCTGAGGTGGGATCTAAGTCCGGGGTAAGGATAAATTCTCTAAGAGGTAACAGCCGTGTGGGGCCGTTTCTCCTTAGAGTCACCCGGAAGTGCCTTTAAGTCAGCTAACAGTGACAGCTGTGCCAAATGCACAAGAGAAGGACTAGAAGTGTTCTGCTCCTCTGCTTTTTAAATTTTCTTTTTTGAGAGGTTTTTGCTATAGGGTGCGTGTGCTCGCCAGACAGAGAGAGAGAGAGACGGAGAGACAGAAAGCGAGAAATCCCCCCCCCAGGGGGGATGGCCACGCCACAATCCGTTCTCCTCCATTCTCCTCTCGGGATCTTGGGCACACACGCACACACGCTCGGCGTGAGTTTTAAGCCACCAGGTCCGGGACGCGAACCGCGGTCGACTACTTGGGAGTCCAGCGACATAGCCATTACGCTAACTGCTGGTCCCTGCTCCTCTGCTTTGAGATGCCTGCTCACGATAAAATAAAAAACTTGAATTGAGCTCTTCCATATTTCAAGAAAAAGGAACACAGAACATCTTGAAGCTAAGCGTTAAGCAAGGAGCTCCTAAATCCTGCACACTCATCCAGGTCCCCAGGCTGTGGGGTAATCTAGCCTTGTTGTTATTTTGCTCTATGGAAACAAGGGCACGTGAGGAAGAGCTTGAGGCTATAGAAGGTACAAAAAACCAACCAACCAAACAAACAAAAAAACAAAGAAAAGCCAACCACACCTTTCAGGTCACAGAGGATGTTTAAACATATAACTCAGCTCCAATAGGTTAAAAAACAGCGGCCCCAAAACAGGAGCCAACAACGTCCTCTCATTGTCCATAGGAACAGATCGCCAGAGAGCTGGAGAGCGCCAGGAGAGAGGGGTGGGAGGAGAGGGAAGTCTGCCCGCTGCACAGCGGGAACAGAAATCCCCACACCACTGATTGGCGCCTGGCATGTGGACAGAATGACAGGGGGTCCCCTGGGGGCTGGGCTGACCATCAGGCTCACCTCCCCAGCTCCTTTTCTGGCAGGTGCTATGGCTGAGGGAGAAGAGGGGGGTTCCTGCCAGGGTGCTGGGTCCACTTCTACACCCGAGGAAATGTATCACCCGGTACCATGTCTCAATAGGAAACAGTGCTGGTACTGAGTGAAGATGAAGCCCTTTTTAAATTCTTTCTTTTTGGGCTCTGGTCTGATAAATCCATTCCAACAAGCCAGTTGTAACAGAAATGCACATTTCATGGCCTTAGCATCTGTGACTTCATGATATTTCTCACTTCGTAAATACACTTCTCCTGGCCCGGATCTGGTGCTGCCGTCCTCCAGCGTTAGACACGAAGACGGCTAGCTTTACTAGGAACCCCTTTACTCGAAAACAAATGCCACTGTTTGGGGCTGTGCCGACTTTTTTTAAAGAGTGATTTTTTTTCTTTTTGAGAGGTTTTTCACTATAGGGCACGTGCGCTCACAAGACAGACAGAGACAGAGAGACAGAAAGTGAGAAGTCACCCCCCAGGGGGTATGGTCACGCCGCAATCCCTTCTCCTCCATTCTCCTCTTGGGATCTTGGGCACACATGCACACGCGCCCGGCGTGAGTTTTAAGCCGCCGGGTCCGGGACACGAACTGCGGTCGACTACATGGGAGTCCAGCGACATAGCCATTATGCTAACTGCTGGTTCCCTAAAGAGTGATTTTTGCTGTAGGGCTCATGCACTCATCAGATAGACAGACAGACAGAAAGCAGGAAATCGCACACACACACCCCCGCCAGGAGGGATGGCCACACTGCAGTCCCTTCTCCTCTATTTTCTTCTCAGGATTTTGGGCAGCGTGAGTTTTAAGCTGCTGCGTCTGGGACTCAAACCACAGTAGACTATGTGGGACTCCAGAGACATTTTCATGTTGGCCATCAATACTAAGCAATACATTATACCACCTGCTGGCCCCAAGGGGCTGTGCTGATTTTGAAATGGAAGTGAGAAACTAATGTTTAAGTAAATTGAGCCCAGGAAAGCCTACATGGCCTGCTAATCTGGGAGCAAATGCCCATGCACAGAGGAAACCCCCTCCCCTACACCCTCCTTGGGCAAGGTGGTGACCCGCAGGGCTGCCTTCTCATACGCCAAAGCCATGTGGGCTGCGGTTCAGAAAATGCTGCCTGAGAATCCTCCCACACAACTGTCTTTGGATCGATAAACAGTTCCAGTGGGAACTACCTGAAGAGAAAACAAAATCTTTTCAGCTTTGGATCGGCCGGTCAGGGACACCTGGCTGCATGGCTCGTTTGCTAGTTTGTGCAGAATGCAGCCATCAGTGAAAGGCCACATGACAGCACACCCACCACGTTCTGTTTAATTCTGGCATTTCTGCTGTGCCTACCCAGCCAAGCAAATGTCACGTCAGGGAATAAAACAACGAATACAGTACATGCACACATACATGTGTGTGCACACACCTTCTACCTCCGCATCTCTCTGACTCTCACTTGTCTCTGCTGCTTTTCGCAGTGTCATACGTATTTCACGAAACACAGGAACCATGCTTACCTTTCCGTGTGAGATACTCGGCCACCAGGGCTGTCACGTGGACATAGCACATCGCTGCCTGCAATGAAAGACAGATGCCTCAGAACGCTCATTTATAACCGCGTGTCATGACACCTAGAAACCTAACGACTCATGTGCTTACAGCAGATCCCAAGGCACCAACTGCGCTTCCAGTAGCTGCCATCTCACCTTCCGAAATGAGGAAATTCATTGGGAACCGAGACAAATGGCAGTACCTTTGCTAAGGGCATGTTTCTGTTGAGAATTATTAAACGTAAAAGGTAAAAGCAGCTTTTTTTCTTACTTTCTCTCATGCGTCTGCATCATTTCTCTTAGAGTGAAAACAGGGCTATTGGGAGACAAGGCCGTGTGCTCTTTCCTAGCTCTTTTTTTTTCTTTTTTTTGAGAGGTTTTTGCTATAGGGCACGTGCGCTTGCCAGGAAGACAGAGAGAGACAGAAAACAAGAAATCACCCCCCGGAGGATGGCCACGTAGCAATCCCTTTTCTTCCATTCTCCTCTAGGGATCTTGGTCATGCACACACACATACCTGACGTGAGTTTAAGCCATTGGGTCCAGGACTCGAACCACAGTTGACTACAAGGGAGTCCAGTGACACAGCCATTACGCCAACTGCTGGTCCCAACATGACTACTATTAACAATACATCATTACTCATTTTTTACCCCTCTAGGTTTTTGCCTTAGGACACATGTACTCGCCAGAGAGTGACAGAGAGATGGAAAAGGAGACATCACTCCTTAGGGGGACGATGGCCACACTGCAATCCTTTTTCTTCCATTTTCCTCCTGGGACTTTGGGCATGCACACACAAGGCCAGTATGATTTTCAAGTCGCCAGACCTGGGACTTAAACCGTGGTTGGCCATGTGGGAATCTAGTGTCTTCATCACCACGTCCCCTGCCAGCCCCTTGTTTTTATTCGGCTAATGTGTAGTTTAGGTTAAATTGTGGTCAAATGTAATTGTCATGTTATGTGTGTTTTTTAGCACATTGGATTCCTAGAAAAATAAATGTTAAAATAGTTACATAAATCTTCCAGACTTAGAAGACAATTTTACTAACTTAAAGTTTTACTAATTTCTATAGAAATTCCAAAGTAAAAGCATGTTTGCTTTAATAATACTGCTGATCGTCTTACAGTGATTCAGGCACAAAACCTGGGAAGAGTTCTCATGGGAAGACAGAATCTGCCTTCGGGTCTACTGTTTTCCTTAATTTCTCACTTTGTAGATGATGTCACTGAGGCTTTGAGGGATTAAAAAACTGGCTCTAAGTCACAGAATTAGTTGAATATTGGATCTGAGCCTTAAAGTCTGTCTCTAGAGCCCACACACCCTCTGGGCCATGCTGTCTCAGTACTGAGACATGTCCGCTCTGTACAGAAGGAAATGCTTGATTAGCTGCTGCACCAAAGGAAATGGACTATCCCAAAATAGAGAGAGCAGTACCCTATCATCACCCTAATAAAAGGAAAAATTAATTTTATCATAAAAGAGATGAATTTTAGAACTAAAGAGCTCTAATGCAAAAACCGATATGTACTTTAATTAGCAATTATGTGACTGCACATTTTAAGAGTTTTCAAACAATGCTTTTTTGCAACAGAATTATTTCCTTAAAATCTGTTTTAAATTATTAAAATGCTCGGATAATGCTAAAATCACCCTGAGTCTGATACTGTTTAAAGTATCACATATTTTTAATGGGCTTCTTTAAATTAATGGGGTAATTTCCTTCGAAATTGGCTTTTTTAACAAACAGAGCAGAACTGGTTTTCTCAGAGGCCTAGACCAAGAGGCGGGGGCTACCTCCGAGAGATCCCCGTTTTTGACGTGGATCCTGGCCATGCTGTCGAGCCACGTCTTCCTGAGCTCGGGGGTGCTGGCATAGGACTTGGCCAGGCTGTACTGAAGGTCCACGAGCATCTCCGGGTCGTTCTCGTGCTCCTTCATCTGGGCAGTGGCCATCAGGACCGTGCGGATCCTCTTGGTCAAGTCCTTCACAGCAGGCGGGAAGCTGGTGTGCTACAGAGGTGGAGGAGGGGGGACACGAGGCTCTCATCTGCTTTCTGCCTGTCCCCATGCACAACAGATGACATGGCAGAATTCTGAGAGTGGCAAATGACAGGGGGTCGGGGCACTCACCTTGATGAGCCGGTCACTGTTGGCACAGTTGTTGATGATAGACAAGGACTGCTGGAATCTGGTCCCCCCGATGCCAACAACATCGGCAATCAGTTGGCTGACGGAGATAATGACCTTGGGTGTACACAAACGTGAGTGTGTCAGTTCACCTTCAACTTTTTTTTTCTTTTTTGGAGAGATTTTTGCTATAGGGCGCGTTTGTTTGCCAGAAAGACAGAGAGAGAGACAGAGAGACAGAAAGTGAGAAATCACCCCCCAGGGGGGATGGCCACACTGCAATCCCTTCTCCTCCATTCTCCTCTTGAGATCTTGGGCACTCACGCACACATGCCCGGTATGAGTTTAAGCCACTGGGTCCGGGACTTGAACCGCGGTCGACTACGTGGGAGTCCAGCAACGTAGCCATTACACCAACTGCTGGCCCCTCACTTCACCTTCAGGTGAACTACTCAGTAGGATGGTATGTGCATGAGGATACTTTGAACGGGGGTCACTCCAGTGCAGGAAACGATGTCTGAGCTATTTTTCTCATTTCAGGAATTATTCCAGAAAGTGATTTTGTTATCCTTAAGAACATTGTTGGCGGGACCAGCAGGTGGCAGGGTGGTTGGGGTGCTGGACACTCCCACATGGCCGACCACGGTTTAAGTCCTGAATCTGGTGGCTTGCTTTCTCACTTCCTCTCTTTCTCTTTCTCTGCCTCTCTCTGGTCAAATTAAAATAAATGCATAAATAAATAAAATTAAAAAAAAAGAACATTGTTGGCAAAGAAAAATGTTCATCAGGAGAGCAGAGAAGAATGAGAATCAGATAAATCTGCATCGCTTTAATAGTTACTTACCTATTACCTTCCATAATAAAAAGAGAGACCTTATTATTTTTGGGCTGTAGGAACAGTCATGACACATTTTTGCATAGAAAAAAAATAGAAAAATATGTCATGACTTTTCCGACAATCCAGTATTTACCTTTGCAGTTTTGGTTTGAACTTAACAGGTTTTAAGTATTCAACAGGGAGATTCTCCTTTGCATGTTTTGTTGGAATGAGTACATATTAACTATGCAATGGGGGGCTGTCTTTTTCTGGGTCCATGAATGCATCACTATTACCCATTACCAGTTGTTTGAGCTGCAATAAAACAAGGAGGTTCTCCTTACATCATCCTTTTCCTTCACCTCATGCAGGCACGATCAATTATTATGAACTCAATCTCCTCCTCTTTCAACCTCACCACCCTAAATTTGACAAGTCTCCCTAGCTGAGGTTTAGCTCCCCCTAATCTGTTCTCGACACTGGAGTCCAGGAGATTCCTTCAAATACACAATGGGAACCAGCAGATGGCATAATGGTTGTGTTGCTGGACTCCAACGTGGTCACCTGAGGTTCAAGTCCCGGACCTGGTGGCTTAAAACTTACGCTGGGTGTGTGTGCATGCATGACCAAAATCCTAAGAGGAGAATGGAAGAGAAGGGACTGTGGCATGGCCATTCCCTCGGTGGGGGATTTCTTGCTTTCTGCCTTTTCTCTCTCTGGTGAGTGCACGTGCCCTATAGCAAACAAAGAAACAGATGCTTTCCAAACAAAAACAAAAACAAAAACAAAAACAAAAACACAATGATTTGGATATGCAGCAAGGTGTCCACCTCAACTCATTCTCTCCCATATCCTAAACTGTACAGTAAGGCATTCTCCAGTCCCCTGGGAGCTGGGCCTTTCTTCTGGTACATTCACAGCCTGGAATGTGCTCAGCACACTTCAACTGCTAGCACCTGTTCGTCTCTCACGGTCTCTGGAGGAAGCCTCCTCTGGTCCCCAGAGCCTTCGTCCAGGTGCTCTCCAAGTGCCCTCAAGCTCCTCTATGACAGCACTGGTCACCCTGCACTGCGAGGCTTCAGGCCTGTCTGCGACCTCCATTGGACTGTCTGCTCCCTGAGGGTCAGGAGGGGATCCTGTTTTGTTCATGGTTATATCCATGAAGTATACAGACAAAAAACCATGATTAAAGAATAAAAGAATAAGTGCAGAGAGAGAGAAGGGACTCTTGCTATGTGTGTGTAAAAAGAAAAGTCTACCTAAGAACACCTAAGACTTGTCACTGTCTTGCCTGGTTCTCACAGGAGAACGTGGCTGTTTTAACTCTGGATAGAGAGCAGATGTGTCAGTAGATGGAAGATACAAAAGAACTTTGAACTTTTTGTATCTTACCAAGATGTTTGCTATTAAGAATCCTCACATAGTTCCTAATATTTCTTTCTTTCTTTTTTTAAAATGGCTCAAGGGCACATGTGCTGGTGGGACAGTGATGATGGGGAGAGAGCACCTCCCAATGGGGCATGGCTATGCCACAATCCCTTCTCCTCTATTTCTCCATTCTGCTGGGATTTGGGGGATGCGTGCACATATGCCCAGCATATTTTTTAAGCCCCCAGGGCCGGGATTTGAATCACAATTGGCCATATGGGGCCCGGCTCCCTTAACCACTAGACCACAGGGCTGGGCTGGTTCTAATATTTGATTCAATGGAATTTCAGTCAGTCCAATATTGATTCAACATTTAAATGTCAATTGAGGAGAAGAAACACATCTTAGATGAGGATTTTAAAATAAACAAGCCAGTGAATCTGACTTTCCCATTTAACATCTCAGGGACAGACCTTGCAGAACTTACGATACGGTAAACAGGTACATGGGATACTCCAAGCTTTCTTGCTAAAACGGGATTCCGTGGAGTGAATCTGCATTGGAAATCTAACCCACGTACTTGCAAATGTGTCCGGACAAAGGACTTCTTCCCCGTGTAGTCGAAGTTGTTCCGCATGAGGAAGTAGAGCAGCTGCGAGGCCTCGGTTCTGATGGAGCTCAGCTTGGAGTTGCAGCACTTGAGGATCTCATAGCACAGAGCCGCGCACATGTCTGCTCTCCCTTCGTAGAACGCAGAGGGGAACTGGGTGGGACACCAGGAGGCAGAGAAACCACAGGAAGTCAGTGTGTGCAACGGTCCCTGCAGCTCCAGGTAGAAGGAGAGACACGTGGGACAACCAGTTCTGACCCTCACCGACGAACCATCTTACCTTGTAAATTAATGACCTTAAGGCAGTGAAGACACTCTTTAAAGCTGTTTCAGACTGATGCTTTTGAAGGAAACACAGGTAGACATCAAAAACCTTCTTCATGAGAGGATTGTGGCCATGCTCAGCCAAGAGCTGGTTCTGAAAAGACACATGGACAACTTCTTTAATGAGACGTACCAACATCTGTACTAGATTTCGATGCTGAAGCTCAAAGGTTACATTTTCCAACTATTAAGGTAATTCATAATTTAAACAAACTGCCAGGAATCCTCTAGGCAAGTACAGAATTCTCTTAAAGAACAACTAAATCTATCAATAAAATGATGCTTTGGAAATGAACTCCCAGACAAACTGTAATAGAGTTTAAAGGCCCCCCGGTGCTTAGTACTGACTGGACTTCTATTTCTTTACTTATTTTTACTGTACTCCCACATACAGAAGTGATGTTTACGGCATACACAGGTGATGTTTATGGCATCTTAATTCCAACAGAGAAGTACCATTATAGGTGTTAGCTAATTAATGAGAAGGACCTTCTATAAAACAAGTCCTCTAGAAGTGGTTTCCACCCCTACCCCCAGGCTTCTTAGGCATTCTATGATGATATGAATAAGAATGCAGTTTGATAAGCCCAAAGGTCAAGTACCATCTATCACACTTGTAGATTTGTACATAAACTGGGTCTCAGCAATCTCACCTGTAAAACTCTGATCCTAAAATTGACTGCATAGCTGTGAAGACTCTGGTCAAGTGTAGGAAGCTTCTGACACATAGTTTGGTTTAGCTTAGTAAGCTGTAAGTAGTAGGATTTTTACTATCTCATGGGTTTTACTTTGTCCAACAAAACAAGAGGACCACAATTGCTTCCAGTCATACAGGAAGGTTTCCTCACCACAGCAGAGACTTCACACACTATTAAATACGTTGGAAGTCTGGTTGGCTGAAACTCCCAGCCATCACCAAATACACACTGCAGATAGGCGTGCAGCCCAGCAAGACTCTAGCATGAAGCTTCACATCCAAATGTGCATGACACTAAGAGCCCTACCTTAAATATGCACGGACCTCACTATACAAAAATGCGTGTGGGGGTGGTGGTAGGGGGCAGGATTGTGTGTGTGTGTGCATTTTGCACAAGTAGACAAAAATGACTGTGATCACAAAAGTGCCAAGAGGCCAATATCTCAAACTGACCTTATAATTTGGCCAAGGGAAAAGAAATAACTTATGTCCAAATAATTTTGCTACATATCAAATTATGGTTGAAGTCACAGTTCCAGGGTAAGATTTACTTCATTTTATTATAAGAGGAAAATTCTTACTCAAGGAATGGGTTTTGGTTTTTCAGGTCCAGTGAGTGGCAGATGACCACAGCTGGCAGGACACCTGGAATTCACAGTGATCTCTGGATCGTGGAATACTGAGGTACCATATTGAATTCCATCACGTGAGCGAGGAGCAATTGAATGGGCAGAAAATGTGACTAATTAACCAGGACATAACTCTCAACCAGGAGCAGCTGTTCCCCTCCCAGTTGCTTTCCCTGTTGTTCTCTGTGAATGCCATTTTTCCCAGAAGCCACAGTTTGGAAGCCTTGCTTTCCCGATGCCTTCACCTCCCTAAATATGGCCGGCCTCAGGCTTGGATGAATCCGGAAGTGAGCTTTCACTTTCTTCGCGTTCTCTGTGGGAGCTGTCCAGGAGAAATGGTTCCTACAAAAACTGCCAACACCCCAATCCTGCTGTTTGAACCAGCCCTTGTCTCCAGGTTCTAACTACCTGAATTAAATTTCCCCTTCTTTCACTCTTTCTGATAAAGGCTTTTGTTTCCCATTTTCAAGATTTAGTCCTCTTGGGCACTAATTTCGACACCTGCTTGCAGGGATGAAGTGAAAGCTTGTTGATATAAAGATGTAAATAACCCTCATTAAAAGAGTAAAGCACCATCAACCCTGGACACAGTTTTATTTACCAGCTACTTTCCTTTATTTTCTAATCTGTTTTCCTCTGGTGCCTCCTCATTAATTAGGAAGCAATATACACTAAACACAAATAAATCTTTGAATATTCAGAAAGGCTCAGGGAGGGGAAAAAAATTCAAAACAAAATCACCTTTAATGTCTCCACTCAGAAATAATCACAGGGAACAGTGCTATGTGTTCAATTTCTCCCTGGATGTCCCTGTAGACTGTTACTTAGGATGGGAAATTTTCATTCAGGAAATTAAATGTGATGTTAGACTAATATAAAGGTACAATTTATTTCTAGCAATAAAGGAGAGACTAATTCTCCAGGAGTCATCTGTCATAGATTCAGGTTTGACTAGTTTTTTTAAAAAATTATTTAATTTTATTTATTATTATTTTAAAATTTGCTACAAAGCATGTGTGCTCACCAGAGAAAGACGGAGAGAGAGCAAGAGAGAGCAAGAGAGAGCAAAAGCCGCCAGGTCCAAGACTTGAACTGCAACCAGCTGTGCGGGAGTCCAGTGCCCCAACCACCGTCCCACTGGCTGGCCCCAAAGTGTGACTATTCTAACGCAATCTCATCCATTGCTTAACCCAGGGAATAGGCCTTTCAGGGAATGACCTCAACATCGGTCATTTCTAAAAATCCAGAAACACAGAGCCTTGGGTGCTAAAATGGGATATCTGAAACGAAGTTTTATTTAAGACAGCTAAGTCTTTCTGAGCCATATGGCGTTTATTTTCATTTAGACGCTGATTTTAGAATAACATTAAACACTGCAGCAGAGAGAAGAGCTGTCTGGGCTGCAGATGTCTGCCAGTCACTGCGATGGCCTTCACCTCGGGTCTCTGCAGAGCTGGCTTGTGGTTGTGGAAACCAGGCCACGGACTGCCTAGCAAGACAATCATCCATGCATGCCTGGCCCTTCCAGTTTCCACCACACCTTATGATTATATATATGTATGTTTCCTTACTGCATAGCTCAAATCAAGAAAAGGCACTAAATGGAAATGCCAAAGACATCTCAGGTTAAATTCGAGAACTCATTACAAGTATTACAAAACTGCAAAGGTTGAGCATTGCTGGTTTGGGATTGTATTAAAGAGACATTGTAAATGAGCCTCAGAAGAACCCTGCTTTCTGCATGTAACCGCCACAGTCTACGTGACTTGCCTGTCTATGTATTAGGTGAGAGCCCACGTCAAAGTGCCTAGAGTCTGTGGCACCTGAGAAGTGCTTGGAAATTTTCTTCTTTTCTTTGTATGAGAGATCACTCAAATACTGTGATATTTACTCAGCTCAGCTCATTGCTCCTGTACGCACACGCAAACGTACGTATACGTACACACAGATGTATGTATACGTATATGCAAACATATGTATACACACACAAATGGCTGAATGGACAGAGGAGCTGTGTAGTGACCTTGGGCCGATTTCATATCTAGTCTCAGTCTCAATTTCCTCATTGTAAAATACGGGATAATTAAACCTACTAGCAAGGGCTGCAGTGCAGATGAATGCTTGAGGCACAGAAGGCCCTCCATAAATAGCAGGAAGCTAATAGAATAAGAGTCAGCAGTTGAGGTTCGAACCTTTTCAACATTTTGTCTTATTAAGAAATGAACTTCTGCATGATCTTTGGCAACTTATTAGATGCAGTCTGTGAAGAGGGTCCACCGTGATGTGGGCTTGGGCAGATCACCTCAGCCCTCCAGCTCACTCTTCCCTGGCATCTTAGTCCTCAGACCCGTTACCAGGGACCAGAAAGGAATGGACACAGGGAGAAGAGCTTCCTGCTAAGCTGGAGTCTGCATGAGCTCCTACTCTATTCCAGGCTTGGGGTGGATGTTCTTGGACGCTGCGCCTCAACCTGGGCCTACCTCAAGCTTGTAGAGTAGGCACGAGCGTCACGTTTCAGGTAAGAAATCAGAACTACGAGGTTCTGAGTGGACCAGCCCAAGGCTGAAAAGCTGGCTGATGGTGGAGCAGGGATTTAAAGCCCAAGGTATTTCCATGCATGTTATCCCAAAGTTGACTGGAGAGTAATGTGACCCTTTCAAGGGGTCATTCCACCTGAAATTTTCAAGAGCCCTTCTGAGGTAAACCCGACTTTTCCAGTCTCACAGAAGAGAAATCTTAGCCCTGGAGACATCAATGACTTTCTCTAAGACATTCGGTCCATCATTGCCACAAGCAGCTTGTAGTGAGAAACCATCAGATGCTGTGGCTTCCTTGGGAACCAGAACCATCTGGAGGCCAGACCCCTGGAGATCTGGGGACCTCGACAACTGGCCCCTTTGTATTAAGCAAGCAGTTGGAAGGGGCTGCTCAGTGGGACCGTCTCTGTTCTCCTGGGTGCCGCCAGGCTGCAGTTGTGATGCGTGTGCCCTCCCCTCATAGCGTGATGCCAGCCTGGACCTGCCCTGTGGCCGTGCATTTCCTGCTTACTCCCATGACAGGGCACAGCAAAGAGTGGAAGAAAATGTTGCGACTGCTTTTCTGAACTTAAGGATCCGTGGGCAGCACAGATGCAGGTGTGTATGACCAAACATGCCCATTCAATGCCTTCACTGCCTATTTCCATTAGAATTTTTGCTACAGGGCGCATGTGCTCACTACAGAGACAGAGGGAGAGAGAGAAAGCAAAAAAACCACCATCCCCCAGGAGGGATGCCATGCTGCAATCCCTTCTCCTCTACTCTCCTTGGGATTTTGGGCATGCATGCACACCTGCCTGGCATGAATTTTAAGCTGCCAGTTCCACCCATATGTGGGGCCCAGATTTTTTTTTTTTTTTTTTTTTTTTTTTTTTTTTAAGAGATTTTTGCTATAGGGTTAGTGAGCTCACAAGAGACACATAGAGAGGGAGAAAGTGAGAAATCACCCCCTGGAGGGATTCCCATGCTACAGTCCCCTCTCCTCCATTCTTTTCTTGGGATCTTAGGCATGCACACGTGCCTAGCATGAGTTTCAAGCTGCTGGTTCCAGGACTCAAACCATAGTCAGCCATGTGGGAGTCCAGTGCCTTAACCACCATGCCATCTGCTGGCCTCTCTATTTGAATATTTAACTAAAAATGTTGAAAAGAAAACAGAGGTGCCAAAATATCTTGTGCAGTTCTAAAAGAGCCTTTGTCCTCAAGCTCTGGCACCTGGTATCCCCTGGAGAGTTTATGACCCACTAGTGGAGGTGGGTCCTAAGCCCCTGCATTTCTAACAAGGCCCCAGGGCTGAGGGGGAGCCAGCCTGGAGACCACACTTTGCGAGCCACCGCAGCAGAGGCTCCATGTAAGAAGACACTGCATCTCTTATTCTGTCAGTGTGCACTTCCTGTCTTCAAGTGGGCTCCTCTAATGGTTCAGGAGGACACAAGTGGTGGCCACTAAGGAGAATAAAGGCAGAGTACTGTAATCACCGTGACATTAGGGCAACTACGTGTACTCTCCCTATTAAAGACACATGCTTTACGAGGAGTGAAGTTAGGGCAGAAAATGGCTTGGTTATATTTCCTAGTTACCCTTGCTGATAAATACCCTGGTTCAGCATTCATAGAATATTAACATAATTCCGTTTCCTCTTTCTTTTTTTGTTTCTTTTAAGAGAAATTTTTGCTATAGGGTGCATGTGCTCACTGGAGAGAGAGAGAGAGAGAGAGAGAAAGAGAGAAATCACCCCAGGAAGGATGGCCATGCCTCAATTCCTTCTCCTCCATTCTCTTCTTGGCATCTTGGGCACGCATACACATGTCTGGCCCAAGTTTTAAGTCGCCGGGTCTGGGACTCAAACCGTGGTTGACTATGTGAGAATCCAGCAACATAACCATTATACTGTTTGCTGGTGCCCTGTTTCCCCTTTCTGTGGTGGAAACGGAAATAATCATTGGGCAAGAACGGGAAGTGTTCGGATCCTAAACACATCCTAAAAGGCGGGGCTGAAGACTCCATCTCCACCTAACCTGACTGCACCTGCTAAAACTTAAGACCAAAAGAACCTTTCACTCTTGCTCTGACATCCTTTTATCATTTAGCTTAGTATATATAAAAAAAGTGAAAAGATGGATTCCTATTTATTGCCCCTCCCTACATAGAAACCCAATGCAAACTGCTCTGATGTCCCCGGGATATACTTACAGACATTCGAGGCTCACATGCCTGATTAGGTCCTCACACTGAGTACCCTTGAGGGGTCAGGCAGGCCATGCTTCTCTGCTGTGCTCGCCTTGAGACGAGCCAAAGACTGCGACGCTGTCTCCGAGCCCACCGAGCCTGCCAGCCAGGTTAGCTTTATCTGATTTCAAGGCACTCGGGTCACTTACCGCGCGATGGTTTCATCGATGGAGCTTAAGCGCGAACGGTTTCCTTACCAAGCAAAACCAGTGGGGGACGTAAACACACAACCAAGTACGTTTGTGCTGCTTGAGCTGAATAAGCAGGACAAGGTGAGAAGACACAACTCCGACCGTGATGGGCTGCTCCGTACAAACCTTAAATGCCAGTGTGAACAGAGAGAGCGTGTCCAGGGCCGTGAGGCAAACCTCGGTAGCGATGTTGGCTTCGAGTAACGACTGGTGGAGGACGTCGGCGTCCGAGTGGCCATAGCCTGCGTGAACATAGCACAAGGTCACTGCCCGGGGCCCACGCAGCTGGGCGGGCAGGACAGGAGCGTCACAGTCAACTTTTGATTATTTGTAGAGGCTCACATCTGGGCCTTGTCTCCCAATGTGCCTTTTTTTTTTTTTTTTTTTGAGGCTGAGGAGAGTAATAATAGTATTTCCATTCAATTTGAACTGTCTCAGCTCTAGAAGGGCGTTAAGAGCAGCAAACTCGTTTATTAGGTGCCATGTGCCAGCCATGAGTCTACGAACTCATGGATTATCTCATTTACTCCCTCACTAGCCCCGGGAGTAGGTACATCATTAAACCCATTTTGCAGATAAGGAAACAGAGGCATGGGAAGCCTAAACCACTAGTTGAAAGTCATACGAATGAACACCGGAACCAGAACCTGCCCCAAGACCGGAGTCAGTCCATTCACTACAGTCAGAATGGCAAGGGTGCTGAGGGAGGTTCGGGTTCTTGAAGCTTCCCACGTGGCAGGCGGCAGCACGGCGCGGGAGTTAAGAAAAGGCGCCTGAGCCAGGCTGCTGGTCACTGGTCCAGCTCTGCCATTTCCCAGTTGTATGACCTTGACTGAGCAAGTCATTGACCTCTGTAAGCCTCAGTTTCCTCACCTGTACAGTGGGGATAATAACAGTGTCTATTTCAAAGGGTTGTAGTGAGGATAAAATTAGTATTTGTGAAGCTCCCAGAACAGTGCTGGGCACACAGCGCTATGAAACTGTTAAGTCAATAACAGAGGGGTCGATATTCTCCGCTAAAATCGCAAACCATAATCAAGAGTTGACTGCATTGCTAATAGTGTTCTACTTGCTTTCAAATGCATAACAAGCCACTACGTCTGAAAGAAATTTTTCAGGAAAGGGAAAGACTGGAAGAATCTGTCACTTAAGTTGAGCTTAATCACACGTAATTCCAATAGAAAGGGCAAGTTTCAGCATGTGGCTGCAGAATCAATGGAGCACTGGTTCGAGATATTAAATTATGAAATGGTATGCATTAGCAGAACTACATACAGGGTGCGAAGAGGCTGCAGGGTTGATCTAGATTACATGGAAAGATGGCAACATCATACACCATGGAATGTCTTTCTCCAAGGAGCAAAGATAAGTTAACACTTGCTAAATTAGTGAATTTTCTTCATACTCCAGAGAGGAGGACATTTTGTAAACAGATCAGGAGAATAGAGAAGAGGAAATCTAAGGAATGTCTTCCAGGCCAGTCATGGGGAAAAACACCAGAATCTACACTCCGAATTCCTTATCATGGCCTCTGTCTCAGAGTACCAATTATTAGGAGAAAATAAAGTAACTAGCATGTCATTCTGACTTAATAAATGTTAGAAGTATAGAATAGTTTGAAAAGGGTACAAAAAGCTTTATAGAGCTACAGAGGTGCTTTAAAAAAAAAAAAAAGATTTTTTTTCCCTATTGGAGAGACAGAGAGAGACTGAAAGCAAGATATCACCCCCCGCCCCAGGAGGATGGCCACAGTGAAATCCCTTTTCTTCCATTCTCTTGGGATTTGGGCACTCACGCACACGTGCCTGGCGTGAGTTTTAAGTCACCAGCTCCTGAACTCGAACTGTGGTCCACTATGTGGTAATCCAGTGACATAACCATTATGCCATCTGCTGGTCCCTAGAGGTGCTTTTTAAAATATGGTGAAAGCGCTGTACTTTTACCCACTGCTGCCTTGCTTTTAGAAAGATGGTTGGTCCTGAGGTCTCATGTCTGTAGGTCACGTACACGCACTCGACCGCAGAGGTGACGCCTGCCTCTAGGGATGAGATGTAATGCTAGTTTTATTTTTTTTTGTTTTTGCTTTTCTGTGTAAATAATTTCCCAGAGAGAAAAAAGCTGGATACTTTGAAGCACTAATATTAATTGTGCTGCCTTTATGTAAGCCAAGGCATTATTTTTCTGGTGTAGTTTGGTAAGATAGAGAGACAATAAAAAGAAAAACAGACCGATGATTACTGTTAAAGTGATCACAAATTGTGACAAGGGGGGTTAAAAAAAGTAACACCTATTATTAGGCCAACCAAAATGATCACCCAGGTCAAATGACCTTTTATTGAAGACTGCCATTTAATTGAAATGAATTTTAGTCTATGGTTTTTATTTTTGTTTTTAATTCTGCTGGAAGGCTGTATGCTCAACAGAGAAATAGAGGGAGAAAGCACCTTCCATGGAACAGTCACACCATAGTCCTTTCTCCATTTCTCCACCCTGTTGCGATTTAGGACACGCACACACACACACACACACACACACACACACATGGGTGCGCATGTGCGCGTGCGTGTGTGCAACCCATGTGTTTCTCAAGTTCCTGGCTGCAGGGCTCAAACTGCAGAGCTAGCTGTGTGGGATCAGGCTACCTCAACCACCAGGCCATGGAGCTGACCCAGGCCATGGAGCTGACCCAGGCTGGGTTAAATTTTAGCAAGGAGCTTGCTTTGGTCAGTATTTCAATTTCTTCTCTGTACGGAACTGTTTCTTTCCCCTTTCTAGATAACCTACTGGGTAAGTGCGACCAGGTGACTGTTCGAGACGAGAACGCTACACAATGATGAAATCCCACAGGTTTTACCCACTGCTAGCAGAAAGCCTGGAACACTTAAAGAATTAGAATTTGGTGATGTGCTATTTTTAGAACACATATACTCAATGGGATATGCTAATTAAGTTAATACCCAATTATGTATGCATGTATGGAAATTGGTCATGACGAAATTTCTCTAAGCAATGACACACCCACAGGCCCTTTCTCATCTATCTAAATCTCCTTTACCATAAGTCAGGTTCACACAGAACTCTGTCTGCTTTTGTCTGGGTCTTACGGGAAAAGAAATGGTTCCTTTTTTTTTTTTTTTTTTGGAGAGGTTTTTGCTCTAGGGAGCGTGCACTCGCCAGAAAGACAGAGAGAGATGGAGAGACAGAAAGCGAGAAATAACCGCCCCCCCCCCCCAGGGGGGGTGGGCGCCCCGCCG